TGCAGACTGAACGTTCGCGCCGTCAGATTTGTGTGCTGAGACCTAATCCCCAAGGGGCTGGTGTTGGGAGGCGGGGCCTCTGGGAGGTGAGGAGGCCAGGACGGTGGTGCCCTGGGTGGGAAGGCTGCCCCTATGAAAGGAGCCTGAGAGCAGCCTTGTCCTGTCCACGACGTGAGGATGCAGGGAGAAGGTCCCTTCTCCGAACTGGGGTGGCCCTCCGCAGACACCCGATTTTCTGGTGCTTGACCTTGGACTTCCAGCCTCCAGAGCTGCAAGGGTGAACTGGAAACTGCTGCTGTGTTTATAAGATGCCCACTGATACCAGTAATGAGATCAAATTCCATAGTCAGGCCCCGCCTGCCCCTCAGCTACAGAAGCCTGGCCAAAATCCTTTGGCTGTGGGGTCATTTCCTGTGGGATCCTGGAGTATCCCAAATACCTGAAGGCAGAAGGAGCAGACGGGGCTTGGGTGAAGATTCACCTTGGCTTCCAGGTAATGGGAAGTGGGGGTCGGCCCATCCTCTCTCCCTGCCCTTCCTCCACAGCTGCCCCCTTGCACAGGGTCCCCTGTCCCCGAGGCCTCCTCCAGGGCGCAGGAAACAGCCTGGGCCTGGGGAAGGCCCTACCAGGGCCGCATGGACGGGGCCAGAGGCTGCTCCAAGAAAGAAGGGGAGACAGAGGCTGCCTCTCCCACGGGTCACAGATGCCACCCCAGTGACAGGCGTGAACCCCAAACATCTGAGACAGGTCTCAGTCCATTTAGAAAGTTTATTTTGACAAGGTCAAGGGCACACCCATGACACGGCCTCTGATGACACTGTCCAAGGTCTTTGGGGCACAGCTCGGCTTTACACATTTTAGGGAGACATGAGACATCAATCAATATGTGTAAGATGAACACTGGTTCAGTCCGGAAAGGCAGGAGAACTTGAGGTGAAGGGAAGGCAACTCCAAGAAGGGAGGGGGTTTCTGGTCACAGGTAGATAAGAGAAAACGGGCTGCATTCTTTGAGTTTCTGCTTATCTTTTCCGAAGGAGGCACTCAGATATGCGTCTATCTCAGTGAGCAGAGGGCTGCCTTTGAGTGGAATGGGAGGCGTGTCTGCCCTAAGAGTTCCCAGCTGCACTTTTCCTCTAACTTAGTGATCTGGGGGTCCCACGACTTATTTTCTTTTCATAAGTCTTGGGAATCAACCATCATCACATTATATGAAAGCAGATGATGCATTATTGATCGGTGTATTCTGAGGATGTAATGAGAGAATGTACAGAGGACCTAGTAAGTAACCAACTAAGAATTAACTAAAGTTACAGAAAAAAAGACAACAGCAGTAAGAGCACAAACCCGACGTCACGTGGTCATGCCCATTACATGAGAGCAGGGCATGTCTGCATACATCCCAGTGCCCTGGACATCCCCTGAGGGAGAGGCAGAGTCTCAGTTCATTCCCAAACCCACGCAACCCACTAAAGATACACCCTCCAGGAAAGCTGGAATTGGGAGGGGTGAATGTGGGAGGCAGCCGTGTGCCACTCCCCTTGAGCCCCGATGCAGGGTGCACCTCCCCACGACCTGGGACATAGGGTGTAGGGTGAGGCTCCCCACGACCTGGGACACAGGGTGCAGGGTGAGGCTCCCCACGACCTGGGACGCAGGGTGCAGGGTGAGGCTCCCCACGACCTGGGGTGCAGGGTGCAGGGTTCAACTCCTCACAACCTGGGGCGCAGGGTGCAGGGTGAGGCTCCCCACGACCTGGGGTGCAGGGTGCAGGGTTCAACTCCTCACAACCTGGGGCGTAGGGTGCAGGGTGTGGCTGTCCACCACTGGGATGCATGGAGTATCACCAGCCCTTTTGGAGGGTTTCCTGGGTGCAGTGTGGGGCTGCAAGGAGCAGTTCTCCGTTCATCACGACCTCCCCCAGGCAATCCAGGCTCCTGGGCAGGGCCACTCAGGAGTCCACATGGCTTGGACACGCCTCGAGGCTACTGTCTTCTCTGGTCCAGCTTCTCCAGGGTCTCCAGGCCTCAGTCAGAACGAGCACATTGATCCGACTGGACACCGGGTTCAAGTTCTACCCTGTCCCCCAATTCTTGGGCTCTGAAACGCAGAGGCTGTCCCAGCGCCTCTGACCTTCAGTGGGAGTTAGGAGCTCCTGGCTTTCTTCACAAATTTGGGAGCTGGTCTGCCTAGCACCTAAAGATCTATCTCGGAGATGAGGCTTCCCTGTCCCACTGGTGGCCTGGTGCTCACTGGGTCACAGTCCTGCCCCCACATCGGATCAAGTCCTCCAGAGAGCAAGTGTGGTGACAGCTGTTTAAATCACAAACTGGAAAGGGTCTCACTGCAAGCCACAGAATCCGACATCCCGCTGGCACTGCCAGGAGCCAGTCAGCTTCAAGCATCACCTGCCCCACGAGTAACATAACCTGAGACCACGCCGCACCGTTCCTCAATCCCAGATGCCTCGTCCATGCCTTTTAAACATCAAACTGTCAAACTGAAGTAAACAGAAACAAATTATAACTTAATTATGATGTCTGACTTTTCTGTCATCAACCCACACTTTTCGCCCAAACTTTTGGAAGCACGAGGCTGTCGAAGATTTTCCAAACTAGAACCAGGAAATCCTTGCAGAGGGGCTATCAGCTGTCAAAGAGGCCAGAACTGCGTAGAAGAGGACGAAAAAGGGGAAGACACTTGCCCTGCACAAGGTGGAAATCATCAACACACTCTGGGTTCTTCGTCGAATCTTAGAGAATCCTACCAAGGTGCCTGGGCAGCAACCTGCAGACCCCCTGGCAACAATTCTGGTGACTGCATAATGGAAACAGGAAGCACCTTAAGGAACCCATTTAGCATCCACATTGTACCACACCTATGTCAGCATCCTAAGGGCTGGAGAGGAACTCTTAAGACTGGAAAGTAACAAGAAGTGAGGGCAGAAACCAAACACTGGCAATCCTCAGGGAGCCCTTCTCCAGATGGAACAATGAGCTTTGTCCCGGGAACAACGGGGCACACCCAGGCCTGGGAGCTGCAGGATGAACAGGGATTCTCCAGTCCTTTTCCCACCTCGGCACCAAGTAAACCCGGGAGCTGGTGTTTGGTTTGGAGCCGCGTGCTTGAGCTGGGAACGCGGGGATGGGCTGGGATGGCTGACAGCTTGTGCCCTGGCGCAGGCCCAGGTCTCATCAGGCACCCTCTTGTCCCTCCCTGCCATTGTTCTGCAATTAGTTAAGAGGGGAAAAGACGCTTCTTACAACCCAGCAGGACGCTGTAGCCAACAAGGTTCCTGGATTTAAAAAACATTCGCCCCGCCCCATGTTCAGGCAGCTCCGCTTTGGTTTGGGGCTGGAGTCTGCCCCTGAGACCCCTGTGGATGGCCCGAGGGCCTTGCTCAACCCCGCCCAAACACCGAGAACCCAGTCAGCCTTGGCCCTTTGCAGGACGCCTCTTCCTAATTAGAATGACAAAAATCCTAAGAAGCCTAAGTGATTCTCAAACCTTTATACAGAGGCAGACACAGAAGCCGGGGAGGTTCCGCTCTGACCCACGATGGCAGATGAAAAGGAGGGGGTCCCTGATGCAGCTGTGCACCCAGAACCCCGACTTGCCCCACAGGGAAGAAATGGTGAGAGCTCCCTCAGATGCCCCGCCCCCATGGGGCACACCCAGTCCATTAAACAGCGACATCTCTAATCGTATCGATTTGCTCATCTCCCATCCCGGGTGAGACACGATTCACCGAGACCCGTGCAGTCCGGTGTGCCCCGCTGAGCTCATTAAGGCCCTTTCCACATGTACAGGTTTTTTTTTAAGGAGTCACTGCTGACGCAGAATGCTGGCTCCAAAGCACAGTCCTGCAGCACCCTTACCACGGTGTCACCTGATTTCACAGACAGCACGGTGACAGGCATGATCTGTGGAGGCTGCCAGAAGTTCACCGCGGGACGGAGCTTGAGGCCAGTCTTCCCCACGGGAGCCAGGCTCCTGTCCCTGCATCCTGGCTCTGATCCGACCCCATGAAAGACAGGGTGGGGGAGGGGCCTGTTAGGGAAGCCACAGCAGGGCTGCGGTGCAGCAGGGTTGGGGCCCAGAGTGGCTGGGGGACAGCTGGAAACAGTAGCACATTGTGGTGGTACGAGGAGGTGAAGTCTTTAAAGGGACCCATGTTAGACCAGCACCCACTCCACCAGCACCCGCTCCCCCAGCACCCACTCTCCACCAGCACCCGCTCCCCCAGCACCCTCTCTCCACCAGCACCCACCCTCCACCAGCACCCGCCCTCCACCAGCACCCGCCCTCCACCAGCACCCACCCTCCACCAGCACCCACTCCACCAGCACCCACTCTCCACCAGCACCCACTCTCCACCAGCACCCACTCCACCAGCACCCACTCTCCACCAGCACCCACTCTCCACCAGCACCTGCTGAACCACTAGGCTGAATAAAAGCAGGGCCACCTGCAGGAACCACTGGGGAGGGCTCTGGCAGGTGGAGGCTCTCTGGCGGTGATGACCCTCCTGCACAGCCAGCTCCCACTGCATTTGGGAGCCACAAACCAAATCCTCACTCAGAAGGTCTGGGGAGATCGCAGCTGCTTATAAATGGGGGCCTGGACTTGTAACTGCTCTCTTAGGAGGCAGGAGGCCGACCCAGGACCTGCCCCTCATCCAAAGCTCCACCGCACCCAACCAGTGGCTCCCATCTCGGCGTCCCAAGACAAGACGTCAACTTGACTCAACTTTTGAGTAATCATCCAGTAAATTATTTGAAAGTTTTTGTCGATGAAAATATTGAGGCATACATATCAATCAAGAGCAAAGAAGGTCAAAAAAAGCCATTTTTTCTCTCCAAGGTAATATATACTCAGAAAAGAAAAACTAGGAGAATATTAAAAGCATAGGACAGAAAACTATTTCCAAAGAAGACTGGGAAGTAAATCAAGGTACTGACAAATTGGAAGAAAGAGCGTACATTATAATTTTTATGATGATTTTAGGTTTCAGAGTTTTTTTGATTAGCAAATATAAAAATGCAGTTATTATATTTAAATATTAGGCTTATCTGGGATTAGTGACAATATTATTTCCTTCCTAAGGTGATGTTTCACTTTTTTGTAATGCATAATGTCATAAAATAATCATAACACTAAACCTTGTTTTATTGGGTTCAGCTTTTTACAATCAACCTACAGACAGACTGAGGAACACCACCGTTATAGAGGACAATGTTGAAATGCTAGGAGCCTTGTTAATGTCGGATAAATAACTAACAAAATTTGAAACTGGCAGAAAGGGGAGAAGAGCAGAAATCTAGATTTGCTAAATTCCTTTGTCCCAGCAGTGAATACCCAGGGACAGCCTGGAGCAGAGGAGGTCACACACGGTGGCCTTGTCGTGGAAAGGCAGCCAGAAGCAGAACTAAAACGAAAACCACCGGATGAGACTCAGCGGCAGGGGAACCGTTATTCTTCGTTTTAGTTTTTTCTTTGAGACGGAGTCTTGCTTTGTCGCCCAGGCCGGAGCGTGGTGGCGTTATCTCAGCTCACTGCAACCTCCGCTTCCCGGGTTCAAGTGATTCTCCTGCCTCAGCCTCCTGAGTAGCTAGGATCACAGGCATCCTCCACCAGGTCCAGCTCATTTTTTAATTTTTCATAGAGATGGGGTTTCACCATGTTGGCCAAGATGGTCTCAAACTCCTGATCTCACGTGATCTACCCACCTTGGCTTCCCAAAGCGTTAGGATCACAGGCGTAAGCCACTATGCCCAGCCGTTTTAGAGTATTTTGTATATTTTCTCTAAAAAAAGAATATTCCTTTAATTAAAAGCAAAGGAATGGGTCACATGGGTGGCCCCAGTTCCAAGACCTGGTGACCTTGGAGCCCGAGTCCCCAGGCGGCTGCAGGAAGCCCCCCCAGGCTCCTGCCTCTCGCTCCACGCGGGGCTCTCGGCGTTCAGACACGCTCCCCAGTGTCTTGCAGAGTGAGATCTAAAGCAACCCTAATTTTCTGCACCAACGATCAATACCGCAGAAGAAAGAAGGCTGAGCCTCTCCCTGCTACAGTTTCATGCTGTGATAACTCAGCCTGGTCTCCAGGCTTCCATCTCGGCGAAAAGAAGCAGATGGATCTGAACAGGAGGCGCATGGGAAGTCAGCGACTCGAGGCCTTCCTGCCCAAGGGCACAGCAAAAACCCCACCTGGAAAAACCATTCCAGTCTCATGCGGGTGACCTCAGGCCAGGGAGGAGTGGGAGGGGCGCCGGCCTCTGACTGGAGGGCCCTGGGGGCCGCCTCTGTCTCCCCACAGCCCAGGTGGCCGCAGAGCGGCAGTGCCTCCCAGTGGACCCGGGTGGGTGGGGGCCGCGGCCCCTGCGTGCTCGTGTCCTCGGGACCTTGGTGCATGCTCCCGGTGCCTCCCGAGCATGGGGCACAGGCTGAGGGGCACACCCGAGGCCCCCAGCCTGCAAGAGTGTGGGGCAGCCAAGCAACCACAATATCACCTGCTACAGAGAGCTGCATCTCCACAGGAGTGTCCTGAGGTGTTCCCGGACCCCATTTTATGAGTATTGCTTAAAAAGAGACACGAGAAGAGAATCTAAGAGTGCCTCATCGGGCAGGAAGGAGCTCCCACAGCCGGGAAGACAGAGGCTCCCACAGCCGGGAAGACAGAGGCTCCCACAGCTGGGCAGGAGCTCCCACGGCCGGGAAGGAGCTCCCACAGCCGGGAAGACGCAGGCTCCTAGGCCCTGCTGCACTGGCCAGGCACAGGGGTCCCAAGGGACAGCGAAGGTTCTCTTCACCCAGAAACATGGCCCAGCCTGGGCCACCTACCATAATACTGGGATTGGCAGCTTTGGAAATGGCCTTCAGATAAAAAGGTTCAAGAACACGCATCTGTCACCCTTGGTGACTTCCCACTGCCACAACCGTCTGCATCCAGGATCGGGCTGTTTTTCCCAACGGCCTTATTTATTGCTCTGACATCTGCAACTAGATTACGATGGACTCACACGCCACACCCACAGCACCCTTGGCAGGTAGTTGAAGGGCTGACCCCAGCCCAGGCGAAGCCCTCCAAAACCCCAGGGCCCACGCTTGAGAAGGCCCCCCGTCCCCAGACCAGCCCACACCCTGGCCCACTGCTCCAACGCATTTGAAAGGAGAGCAGGTGTTGCCTCTGCCAAGGAGACGGAGCGCTGCGGGAGCAGGGACCCCGCCAGTTACACCATCTAGAACTCCCAGGCCTCTGTCATCACCACCAACTCTCGCCCAGAGATGCCCGCGGGTCCACGCTCAGGGAAATGCCCCTCCCACAGCAGGCCCAGCACGTGTTCCCTACAAGGCCAGGTGGGGACCTCTTTGCTTGAGGCGCAGATCATGGCCTCGCCACTGCTGAATTCTGTCTCTGCAGCAGGAGTGCAGCCACAGAAGGATGTGGCCCGGTGGCTGTGGCCAAGCTCCGATAAGCTTTTATTTGTGGCACTGAAATTCCAGTTTCATCAAGTGTCCCCATCATGAACTATTACCCTTCTTTTGGTTTTTTTAACCATTTAGAAATGCAAAGTGCGAAGGTCTTTCTCGGGCTGGACAAAACCAGGCGTGGATCAGATGAGGCCCTTAGCAAGGGCGCAGGAGGCAGGGGTCCCTCTCCAGGGTCTGGGAGCCTGGCCTGGCACCCTGTCTTGCTCACCCTGTCCCAGAGGAACCGATTTCTAGCATTTATGTTTTGGGAGCATAGGTTTTAGGTCACATACGAGCACAGCACCCATTAATACAAAGCCACCCCCTTGGCTTACTAATAAACAATACACATCTGTTTGTTCATGCATACACAGTGTACTCTTTGGGGAAAAAAATCCAAAGCTGCTTCCATGGGTGTTAAAAACAACATCAATAATTTTCTTGCTTTCCAGGCAGAAAAACTTGGCCAGTTTTGTGTTCCTGAAAACGTCTTCCAAGGCCATTTCATTGTCCCAGAAAGACCCCTCTCCAGGGTTAAGGGCAAGGACGGAGGGGTCATGAGAGGGGAAGAGCCAACGGTCAACTGCTCAAGAACCCGGCATGAGAAACAACTACAGGAACTCCACATTTCCAGCGAGGCACATCCGGGAAAACACGGTGGCCGTCATCTATCTAATTAGGAACAGCCACGAAAACAGCAACGAATCGGGAGTCAATTCCCAGCAGAATCAGGCAAATGAAATCCCAGATGGTGAGAAGGGGGAACTCAGCTCAGCTTCTGCTGAGAAACCGTGTGTGCCTTCCTGTTATGCAAACACGACACAGGTGCAAACAGGCAGCTGTATCTTCTAACGCAAGGAACACGCCATGGTGCAGGCGGGTGTGGTCCCCAACACTCAGGTGGCACAGGTGGACTCCGTAGGTATCTATAAAACCAGGGTTCTGGGCCGGGTGTGGTGGCTCATGCCTGTAATCCCAGCACTTTGGGAGGCCGAGGCGGGCAGATCTCCTGAGGTCAGGAGTTTGAGGCCAGCCTGGCCAACGTGGCAAAACCCTGTCTCTAGTAAAAATATAAAAATTAGCCACAGATGGTGGTGCACACCTGTAATCCCAGCTACTCAGGAGGCTGAGGCAGAAGAATCACTTCGACCTGGGAGGCAGAGGGTGCAGTGAGCCGAGATAGCGCCATTGCTCTCCAGCCTAGGCGACAGAACAAAACTCCATCTCAAGAAAAGGAAAAAACAGGGCGGCCACACAGCCTTCCCCCCAGGACTGCAGCAATGACCGGATGAAATAAGAGGTGACCAGAGAGTGGGAAGCCGGAGGTTAAGACAGACCAGTGTGGAAGGCAGCTGACAGGCTGGGCATGGGGACACCTTCTACCTAGGGTGAGGGGCTGCCATGGGGCCCCTGAGAAAGAGACGGGCACCTCCATTCACACGGTGGGGCCCACAGCGAGGAGGACAGTCCTGCCTGGGGCCTTATGCCCTGGTGAGACACTCCTGTTGACTCCAAGGACAAACACAAGGGGCTGAAAAACGTGAGAGGACGTCCACTTCCACTCCTTCATGTCACGCCACATGGACAGGTTCAGAGAAGTGGGTCCAGGGGCATAAAGTCACACAGCCCCACAGGGCCAGACAAAGAAGGGGTGGAGGCCAGCCTCGCCCCATCCAGCCCCACGTCCCCAAACCCTGCCTGGCCCACTCTCGACAGCCCCTCGGTAAGTGTGATCACTGCCATGCTCAGTACTCCCCAATTTTAACTTGGCTAAGGTCCGTGTACTGATGGGAAGGCACAGCTGATGTGACACCGCCATCGACCTTAAAGTGCCAAGGCCACCCCTGATCTGAAGTCTGGAAACGCCGGCCATGAGAAAGTGCCTGACCAACCTCTTGGCTGATGCCACTCCTGAGAAGCGTGCTTGGCTGGTGAAATTTTGGCCTCCCCCTAACAATAGATGAATGCCTAAACTGGCCGGGGCGAAGTCTGACGGGCGCGGGATCCCACAGCTGTCCATCCACTATTCAAGGCCTCTTTGTTCTCAGTTCTGCACATCAGTCCAAATGCCTCTCGCCCTGGGCTGTCTGATTCAACTGGGCTCAGCAGCTTTTCCTGACTGGCAACCACACAACCAGGAAACAATGGGTCCACACACAAACGGAAAAGACTTCACACACCCCTGAATCTTTGTGAACTCCTACTGACAAAAGAAAAACTTGCTACAATACACTCACCTCATTTACCTAATAGATGCAAAGAATCAGGTCACCAAATTGTTGATGTGGGAAAGTGCTTACTTATAGAAGGTCTTCTAATAAATGCAGACAGAATCACTAAATAGCTGATCCTGAGCCTGGAACCACATGGACTGCTCCACTGACCTGCAGCACTGACGTCCTCTATTAACCTACCCTACTAACCTACTCCACTAACTGACCACCCAAAGCTTCTGTACTAACCAACTACCCAAACCTACCCTACTAACCTACTCCACTAACTGACCACCCAAAGCTACTGGACTAACCAACTACCAAAACCTGCCCTGCTAACCTACTCCACTAACCGACCACCCAAAGCTACTGGACTAAACAACTACCAAAACCTGCTCTACTAACCTACTCCACTAACTGACCACCCAAGGCTACTCCACCCGACTACCCAAACCTACTCTACAATCTACTCCAATAACTCACCACCCACAGCTACTCTACTAACCAACTACCCAAACCTGCTCTACTAACCTACTCCACTA